ACGACTTCAATAGAATGGCTTCTGAGCACAACGTAAGACACAAGCCCTGAAGGTCAAAAAAGTTTTTGGGAGAAATGACACTTATTTTCGGCACCGATGTGGGGCCACAGGAGCCTGTTATCCCCTCACGTGCCTAGGATAGACCTCGCTGGTGAGCATTCGTTTTGTATTTAGTCCGAACTTCACCAAGCAATGCCCAAGCACGCCCATCTGGCTCGATAGCGTTCTTATCTTCACAGGCAGGCAACATATCATCCGAGGCATTCAGGGAACTTCCTTCTGTTGATCCCTTTATGTGATATCCATAGCGGTAACGAAAAGGAGTGGAGAAAGCGCAAAGTCACGGGAAGCTCTGGAACACTCTGAACAAAATTTCTTACTGGTTCGCTAGTTGTTGTACGATACATCGAAGAGCAGGGTAATCATCACTAGTATGTAGTACATGTACCCCTGTTTCGAGCAGCCTCTCGATTACGCTCAGCTAAGGCATCTGCGATCAGAAGGAACATTTCAGAGTGGAAGTTGCTATCAAAATTTCAACTTCCCGAAGAATGCAGTAAGTAGGTGAGATCTGGGCCTGTGGACGAGCTGCACCATCTAGGAAAACATTCCTGAAAGGGAATATGAAAGAACAGTTGCGCAGTTCCAAAGAAGTAAGAAGAAATACGGATGATGGAGGGACTAATGCATTACGCGTTTCGTCTCCAGGATGTGCATTACGCTGAAGTTAAAGTTATGTTAAATCTGACGTTAAACCTGTTTTGCGAGTCGCTATACGCAGACACACAGGTGACAGGCCTCCGCGACGGCCGGCCTACAAACACCCATGTCACCATCATGTTTGATCATGCCATATGTATATCGCGATAATGCTACAGCGTCCGCGGGAGCCGACGCGCACTCGTATGGCCCGCTGAGTGTGGAAAGTATGCGAGGGTCCTCGGTACAAGGACGGCATCGGGGGGGGGGGGAGGGGGGCGACCAGGCTAATCCAAATTTTAAGTAGTGCAGCGTGTAAAGCCCGTATTGCAACGTTGAACGTGGGAACCTTGACCGGACGTTCATGTGAATTGGCAGATGTATTAAAGCGCAGACAAATCGATCTCTGTGCAGTGCAGGAAACAAGATGGTCCACTTGCGAGTCGAGAGACATCGGTCGCGGCTTCAAAGCCGTTCTTTGTGGCAAGCCAAGGACTACTAACGGCCGTTCTTTGTGGCAAGCCAAGGACTACTAACGGAGTGACCATAATCGTCTTTCAACGTTTCCGTGACTCGATAGGTAGCGTGGAACGTTTCGACAATCGTTTGATGAAGATTGTTCTAGCTGTTGAGCAACGACTGTACCACTTGTTTTCGGCATATGCTCCACAGACGGGATGCACTGAGCAATGAAGGACGAATTATGGACTTTGCTTGAGGAGAAGACAGCTGCCGTCAGAAGACGTCGCAATTGTCGCTGGTGACCTTAACGGGCACGTAGGCGCAACGAAAGACGGTTACAGTTGTCATGGTGGCTCCGGTTATGGAACACGTAACGTCGATGGCGAACGTATGCTGGAATACGCAGAAGCCCATAATCTCGCCATCGTGAACACGAAGTTCCGTAAACGCGACTCCCACCTGATTACCTTTTACAGCGGGGAACACCAGGACACAAATAGACTTTGTTCTTGTCAGCATCGCGATCAAGTACTTGTCACATACGCGAAGACCGTGCCGTGTGAGACAGTAGCCTCGCAACACCGCCCGCTTATCTGTACGCTAAAGATAACACCGCCCAGGTCGAAGCAGATAAAGCGATGTGGACCTGAAAGAATCAAATGGTGGCGTTTGAAGTAGAAGGAGGCAGCTGTGATCTCTCGCATTCGATTACCAACTGTCACAACTGTTGAAACATGGAAGAATGCCGCCAAAGCGATAGTTCCGCTCCGTCGCCACAACGAAACTTGGAAGGAGTAGAATAGAAAAGCAGGCATGCTTGTGGACAGATGACGTAAGGCTAAAGGTTCACGAGAAGAAGGAGCGCTATCAATTGTTCCTCAAAGACAAGTCAGCTGACAACTGGCGGAAGTATTAGGAAGCGAGAGTTCGGCAAAAAAGGCTGCGGCTGCTACAAAAGCCGCTCACTTCGGTGATATCAGCAAGAAGCTGGAAACGTGGGATGGCGAGCGGCACATCTACCGACTCGCCAAGGCTCGTCACCTTCAGACCGAAGATGTAGAGAAGTTCTTCGGCATCAATGACGAGAAGGGCCGCCTTTTGATGGACCGAACAAAGGTGCTGAGGCGATGGCGCGACTACTTCGGAAAAATTTCCACAGTCGAATATGAACACCCGGCCATCCCCTGCGCTTTACCAACATACGGCCCCGTTCAGAAGATAAGCGTAGAGGAAACGGAGGCGGCTGTCAAGAAGATGAAGCCAGGCAAGGCAACGGGTCCTGACGACGTGGCGGTCGAAGTATGGAAGTCATACTGCTGGCCTGCCGAATGGTTGACAATGTTCTTCAATCAGGTCGTTGCAGAGAAGAAAAGGCCTGAAGTATGGCAAGAGAGCACAGAGGTACCGATCTGGAAGAAAAAAGGCAGTCCTGCAGACTGCTCAGATTATCGTCCAATTCGCTTGCTCTCGCACAGCATGAAAATTTTTGAGCGAATTGTTGATAATACTGTCGTGTTCGCCAGACTCTCTAACAACCAGTGTGGCTTCGTGAATGGCTGTAGCACCATCGATGCCATACATGCCGCTCGCCTCTTGCTGGAGAAACATCGTGAGAAGAAGAAGCATGTCCACCTAGCCTTCCTTGGTCTGGAGAAGGCATTCGACCGTGTCCCACTTGAAGTTATATGGTATGCATTACTGCAGCACGGCGTCCCGAAGAGCTGATTGAGTGGTACGCATCCTGTACTTCAGCCCGAGTGGTACGCATCCTGTACTTCAGCCCGAAGAGTCGAGTGCGGAGTCCAGCAGGCATTTCGATGGGGTTCCCCATCACAGTTGGGGTGCATCAAGGCTCAGCGCTTTCCCCGCTCTTCATTGTCGTCATGAACGCCATCTCACGGGACCTCCAAAAGCCGGCTCCTTGGACGCTTCTCTACGCTGGCGATGTGATGCTCGCGTGCGTGAGTGAAAATGGTCTCGAGGAACAAGTGAAAGCTTGGACTGCACGGTTAGCAAACTTCGGGTTCAGATTGAACGTCAAGAAAACCGAGTACCTGACGACTTACCCGGACGAGTCTGGTTCCCTTAAGATCAGCGGCAGTGTGCTCAGCGAACTAAGCGTTCAAATACCTCGGATCAACAATCACGTCTGACGGTAGTCTTGACTCAGAAGTGAGCGCGCGCGTTAGCGCAGCCTGGACTGCGTGGCGGTCTATGATTGGAGTTGTCTGCGACGAGATGAAACTGCCTCAAATCAAAGATATATAGGACTACCGTTCGACCAGTCGCGATACATGGCGCTGAATATTGGCCTACGACCAGAGAAGTTGAAGCCCGCCTAGGAGTCATGGAGATGAAAATGTTGCGATGGACCGCCGGTGTCACGCGTATGGCATACGCAATGACGACATAAGGAAAAGATTCGGTACTGCTCCTGTGGCCGAGAAAGTGCGCGAAGCTCGCCTTTGATGGTACGGTCATGTTCTTCGCGCGAACACACTGTCCGTAAGATTAGTCTTGAGCTCGAAGTTCCCGGAAAGCGGCCCAGAGGACGCCCCAAACAGCGCTGCTCAGACACGTTGGCGGACTTGGAGGTGGTTGGCACCCATCCCGATCAAGCATTTAATCGGGAGAAGTGGCGTGACAACATAAGCCAATCGAACCCTGCTGCAGTGCGGCACAAACGCTGAAGAAGAAGAATAAGAAGAAGAAGTGTTGGACACTGGATCACTGCCCATTTTATTAACACCAGCTGCAGCCGTTGAGCAAGTTGCGTCCGGAATATTAGGATGGCCAAGCGCGGTTGGTATGTGTTTGGATGTCTCATTTTCTTACAGAATCGCGAGTCTGAAACCGGAGCGATGCTTACAGCAATAATGCTCCCACGTAGATATGTCGACTGCTACAACGCTGGCATGAAGGAAACATGGGTTTTCTTCTACACTGAGCCCAGAGGTAGCAAATGTCGGCTTCAGATTGATGCACATGAGGAGACGCAAAAATGAACTCATGAGCAGTTTACATGGGTCCTAACGGGTGGTCATCATGGCAATGCATTTTTGGGTTTGACCTTTTAGTGGCTCAGTGCAAAAGACAAACAGTCACGGCAGAGCAGTGCCACCAATTCCTAGATCATTATCTCTTAAGTTTAGTGGCAACGGGCGATAAGAAGGCCATTGTTGTTCATGACAATACCAGCCTCCAGATACATGTATCAGTCGGCAGTATTTCGAGGAAGGAACCTTGATACTTGCCAGGCACCGCACTGGACCGCTCTGCAGCCTTCTGATTTCAGCTGTGTCGGTCAACTAAAACCACTGTTGAGAGACAAGCGCGGTGACAACTGGCTCATCGCAAAGATCGAAATCAACAGCATCTTTTCTGTGGTCGTAGAAAAAAGGAGCTAGTCGGTGTCCAGATGTGCTCAGGACGCTGAGTAGGTCTTCGCACTAATTAGAACCATAATGGGGCTTTTTATCTGTAATGCCCTTTATTTTGATTGAATAAACCCCTCACTTCCAGCTTTTTCACAGCTTCCCTCAACGACCTTTCGAGCTACGCGGCATGATCTCTCGACAGCTCAAATTTTTTGTGAGAATCAAACTGCTATGTGACGCTCTTCTAAGATATCGATCGGCAACATGAGATCTTCGCTTGCCGCCTCACCTTTTTTGTTTTTGGTTTTGATTACTGTTTTCGCACGACGTTCGAGCTCGACTGACTGCAACCGAATGGTGATGGTACGGTGAGGAGGAGAAATGACCACTTCAAACGTAGAAGACGTGGATAAGCGTAACTCGAAAAAGTGATGGCGGATGTGTTATGCAACGACCTCACAATCAGCCGGGCGGATATGTCGTAAAAATCAGGAAAATCAAAAAAGCTGCATTATGCACGCCATTCTGGCGTACTCTGCAATTTGACTCCGTTGCAGTTAGTTTCAAATCAAACGATAAAACAAAACTTGCCCCACTATGCCCTACGGATTCAACACTATCCGAGTTGTTATCTGGCTGTTCTCGTTGCACACTTCCATCTGCATCTGTCGTCATTTCGGCCTGAAGGTTATGTCCTTTTGCTGCAAGTTTAGCCTGGAATGTTCCTGGGTTAATACATCATTGCCTTTTCTGAGTTCATGAAAAAACTTCACATGTGCATCATGCAGGGAAACAAGTGCTATGCTGTTTCGTCCTTCATCTGCGCTCAGCTCATTTGTTTCAGCTACTCTTTTCACGACTCGAACAGCCAATTTATCGAGTTTTGTCATCTGGATATCTGGAACACTTCGGTCGTCGTGAAACATAAAAGTGTTGTGAGCAGCCTGAACACACCCTCTTCGTCCTCACTTCGTCCGAGAGATTGACTCCGCTCAGATCCGGTGATGGCCACATTAGATGAGAGTTGCTAAAAAAGAAGCTTTTCATGTCAGCGTTCAAATTTCACGATGACGCGCATCGAAGCTATTCACCGCAACATCGCTTCAGTGCTATAGATAGGAACGCAGCCCCAGACAGGTATCGATGTTCGCCGGCCGCTGTTTTGAAACAGGATGTCAGAAGAGGAGGGTATGCGCTCCTAAGGCTGCTCAGACTTCGAGAAGACGGGCGTTTACGCGCTGTACCACGACACCATTGCAACCACGCATCAGCGATATGCGCGGAAATGCAGTCATAGGCGGTGAACACTCAGCGCTAGCAGTTAGGCTGCGTTTATACTTTGCGGCAGCGTAGCCTAGCGCTTCCAGCGTACGCCAGCGGCAGTGCCGGGGAGAGGATGCATATCGATCTAGCGTTCCCAGCGTCACCATCGTAAAGCTAGCGTAAGCTAGCGTTACGCCAGTGTTTCTCCAGCCTTTCACCAGCGTTTTGCTAGCGTTTGCAGCGGCAGGGGAGTAGAGACTATGGGAGAGCTGGAGGGTACGAAACACCGAACACCGTTGGTTGCGCGTCTCTGACGGCCACATAATCTCTACTCCCCTGCCGCTGCAAACGCCAGCAAAACGCTGGTGAAACGCTGGCGAAACGCTAGCATCGTTACCGTTACGCTGACGCTTAAAACCTAGATCGACATGCATCCTCTCCCCGACGCTGCCGCTGGCGTACGCTGGAAGCGCTAAGCTAAGCTGCCAAAGTATAAACGCAGCCTCACGGTTTTCAGCCAATGTGTGAAAGGGATGACTTGCGTTGCCCAATCACGCGATTGGCGCCGGTCGCTCGTGTCTTGAAAAAGTGTAAAGAATAGGAGGGCAGCAGACTGTGAGATCAGGCAGCGTTCGTACGTGACGATAGCGCGAGTCGGAGCGCGACGACGCGCTGCAGCTGCGGCGCTCTTTAACGCTACTCATTCAGACGTTGCAAGAGTCAAGGTTCCCAATATGTGACGTCGGGCTTCAAGCAAGGCGTTTATCCACTAACTGCCAGCCGCTTCCAGCGACTTGTCATCGTTTTGAGGTTATGCGAACACAGCAGAGAACAAATGGGTCCCTTCAGAGAATATTCCGCGAATTCTGAAGGCAGATTTGAGTTCAGCGGCTCAAGCTACGTTTATACATAATAATCCCATTGTAAGTGGCCGGATCGACCAGTTGTAAGCTCCATCACGTAGATCCGTCTACGTGTGTTCCTCCCTATTTCGGATTTTCACACAAGGACTCCGTCTCGATGAAGCCCTCCACCTTGTTCGTTGAGGTTCCTCGTGATCGTTTGCCCTGGTCCGGAGTCCAATGCATTCTCATCGGTGCCTGTGGACTCCCACATTTTATCCAGGCTGCATTCATTCGAGCCTTTAGCACCTGATCTACGCACCCATCAGCTGCTGGATCGCTCTCCAGCTATTGAAAGTCTTCGACTTGATGCCTTCGCCGCGGCGACCTACAGTGCATTCATTGGTGTTCAGGAGCTCGGTCTTGCCTCACGTCCAGCCAGAGTCTATTCTCAGCGAGCACATCCTGCCATGTTGGTACCTTATCTTGGAGTTTCCGGTTATCCGCTACCCGGGCGATGTCATCGGCGTAGAGGATAGTTTTCAGTGGCCCCTCCACGAGTTTTTTTGCCATGAGATCTAGAGACATGAGGAAGGGGGAGGCTCGAGCCTGATCCTTGATGCACCCCAACTAGATGTCTACTTGCTTTGTCAAGCCGCTTGGGATGCGTACAGCTGCCTTAGCCCGGGTAGCTGTTGCTCTTAATACCTATCCATCACCTGTCTAGTGATGAAAATGGCCAAATGGTCAGGGGTGGAATTTGAGCATGAAACCGAACTGCCTCTGCAAGATAAGGATATGTTACCTTGGCTTTATGCAGACCAAGCCCTCACACAGCTCCCTGGCATGCTAAGACAAAGTGATGTCACGAAAGTTGTAGCACTGCGTCGCTCCTCCATTCTCCTTAAAGATGGGCTCCATTGTGCTGCTCCTCTACGAACCCGGCATCCCTCCTTCGGTTGTTACGTTGCTTAGGAAGTGGGTGAGTCAACGCAGCTCGCGCTCTCCAGGTGTTTTCCATGCCTCTATTGGTACCCCATCTAGACACACTGCATTTCCAACCTTCATTTCACAACTCTCGGCAAACGACAACCTCTGTTCAGAGGGTGATAGGACCTACCATCACCCTTACCTTTAATTGCCTCTGCGGAGTACTTCGTTCAGGAGTTCTTCGGAGTGTTCTTCCCACCTCTTTCAGACATTTGCTGGTTTCTTTGGAATGTCACCACTGCAGCTCTTCACAGTCTTTACTACGCTAATACTTCGAGAAGCGTCATGTCGGGCTCTAGCCAGGCAGAAAACGAACTTGTCCCTCTCCCGGCCAGCAAATTCGCGTACAGGCGCCCACTTCCGTATTCCTGGCCTCAACAAAGGCTGCCTTAGCGAGTCACTTGCAGCTCTTGTAGGCAGCAAGGTGCTCTGGACTCCTCGCCTTTTACCAACACTTGTATGCTTCCTTCGTATACGTAATGATTCAGTGAACTTCTTCGCTCCAGAACCACGCCACCTTGCTCCTCTGCTTCCACCGCTTCTCTCCCAGGTCGTTCCTTCCACACAGAATGGCTTTTGCCGCGTTGGTCCTGGCTTTCTGGATTGGCCGGTGTGGGCATGGTAGCCAGTCTTCAGTATTCTTCGACCGATACACATCTTACCCACCTTATGCATTTTTCGACACCGAGTTCACGGCTCGGTTCTTACTACAGTATTCATAAGGAGCTTTATGGCGATGTCTGCTAAAGGTAGCCCGTAATAAGGGCCCAGCTTTTCCTCACTAGCCTGATATCCTTTTTTTTCGAAGGACGATTCTCTCACCAGCCCATGGTCGATTTCCGTTTTGTCTCCTTCCACTGCTGTAGATCATCTTCGGGTTTTTCCTCTCGCGAAAAAGTTCTGCGAACCGCTAGGTCGTGTGCTGTGGTTACAGTGCGTAACGGAAGCATGTGAATACCCAGAATTCCAACCTACGAAAAGAACTTTGATTATCGCGAGATGGACCTTTACTATACAATTCCTCGGATACGGAAACCCTTATTCTTTCACTTAACTGCATCTTGTGGGCAACTTTAAATATTTTTCTTATTGGGAAAATTTCCTACCGAAAATATGTGGACTTCCAAGGAAAAATAAAAAAGTCTGAGATACCAGACTGGTAGCTCCTGACTTCATGGTAGTTCAGTCATTTTATCTCGCATGTTCCTGGACGTGGTTTCTCACTTTCTCATGGTTGCTTCGGGTACAGCGTCTTAATGAGCAAATGTAGCAGCATTAAACTCATGAACCACATTTCACTGCCGGCTGTTATGATAGGCACGTTGAACTGTGATCTCTTGACGTTTTCGTAATGATAACAGTCAATAGAACTATCTGACCGCTTCACCGCATGGATTCCGTTGTGCAGGGTCCTTTTCTTTGCTGGGCACCACACATCTATGGCCGCATTCTGCTGCCGAAAAAACGTTTCCTGCGTCGAGTACTTCTCAAAAAGAGCAGATGGTGTAAATTAGTCACCTACTCGTATTCCCGACTGTTCATGTTTCATGCTGGAAACGCAAGCACCTTCCTGCTTTTTCCAAAACCATAGCAAAACACATGCACATCGCCTGCAGAGTTGCATTACAAGGATATCAGAAGCTACGGAAGAGGGCAAATTCAAGCAGGCGAAATCCGTTTGAAGCGTCAGCACAGAACCTTTTTGCAACTGGGAAGATTTTCTGACTAGGAAATGTTCATAGACGACGTTGTCCGTTTTTCACTTGGCAATTTCTCTAAAGACTCCTTCAGTGTTGCAGTATTTTCACGGACAATCTGTATCTATTGACAGCTCGTCCTGAACAGTAAATTGGCAGCATTGCTCACGTTAGTTTATAACGTACGCTCATTTGATCGGAGAGTGCTCAAAACGCTCATCATCGAGAGCAGCAAACTATTCCACGCATTCTCTTAACCAACAGACCAACAGTTATTTGAGGCGACTTGGGCTATTCTAACGTTGTTTTGGGCGGATAGACAAACTGGATTGCTCTACTGAATGCTACCATTCCAAGGGCATCACAGTTCATGTGCACCATAACAGCCGTCAGTGAAACGCGGTACATGACTTCAAAGCGGCAATTTGCTGCTTAAACACTGTACGCTAGACAACGATGAGAAACCTCGTTCAGCAGCATGCCGGAAAAAATGACCATACCAATATGAGATCACATTGCGCCACCAGTCTCTTATCTCAAGAACATTTTTGTTTTTCCTTGAGTGTCCATTTACCTCTAATAAGAAGAAACTTTTTCCAATAATGAAAAAATGTCAAGCGACACACAAGATGCTGCAAAGCGAAGTGTACTGGGGTTTCTGTGTGTAAATTAAGGAAACCAAGTATTGTAGGCCCAAGAATTAAGTAGTATAGGCCCAATCTTGCGAAAATCGAACGTTATTGTAGAGTAAAAATTCAAAGAGTATATATACTTTTGTTGCAGTGCAAGGATCCCTTCTGCCTCAGCGTTCCTTGCTCTATTCCTTAGCTTCCCACCATTTCTCTACTTCTTTCACTACCACATAGCCATTCAGATTATCAGCTATGGCAAGATAGTAACTCTGGAACCGATCCCGCGGCCTCGTCAGGGTCAGACAGAACTCATTCTTCCACAATTCGCAGCAACAGGGCTGCGGGTCACCACTGTCCGGTATCGCTCCTTCGTGTGATCCTGTTCTCAATCCTCCCGGTAGCAGAATCCCTAAACGCAGCCCTTTAGGGATTCTGCTACCGTTATGGCCACATTATTCCGTTTTGTGCTTCCTACATTGCAGAAGAGTTTGACACCTTCTTGCGGGTCTTCGCTCACTCAAAGCGTATTTTGACGGCATAGGACTTTGATAGTCCTGCGTCTCATGAGGATTCACGTCTCATGGCAATCGCTCGAGACTTCTCCGTAGGCGATCCTACTCCCACGTTTAAGGTCTCATGTCGAAGCAGCATCGTCGGCCGAGATGCTCACCATCGGGATCCCTCGTATACCAACCATATAAGTTGGGTGAGAGTTCTGCCCGCCACTTTCGGGTGACAAGCTAGCATCGAAATAAATACTTTTGCGACTTGTAATCACTTTTGTTGCGACGGCGTTCTCTAGCCGACCTGTCAACTTGGGCCTGACACAGGTATCGTATCCATA